GGATTCTTCGGGCCCTAATGTCGCGTCTTGGGGCCCTTCTTGAGGGCCTCGTAGGGCATGTCGGGGTGCTCCTGGAGCCCTCTCAAATTCGCCGTGGGAAGCTATTGCCCTCTCCAGGGGGGTTTAACTGTTCTCGTACAATATAAGCTCTCTCGGGAGCAGCGCGCCATCATCTTAGAGGCTTGAGTTGGGCCATCTTGGACCACCTTGAGGCCATCGTGGGGCCACCTTCAGCCCATGGAGGTATACAGAAGCCCGCCCTATCTTGGACCTCGTGTCGATCCTGGAGGCACACCAGACGGACGGATTGGCCCTCCCGCCGAATCCAGCTGGAATTCTGCCGGCGTGGGACGCGTGGAAGCAGGCAAATCTCACGGGGTGCACTCTCGGACGCACCCAAAAGGTGCACAGGACAGAACGAGAACCGTCCACAAGGTCGAGGGAAAAAATACATACGTTGTCGACGATGACTGGTACAAGTATGAGAATGGAAGTCTACAGCGCTCGGGCCTCTGTGGCGGGCCCCACTGCAACGAACCCCTTCTTGCACCACTCGCGGGGCGCCCCGAACGGCCCGCGGCGTGGCCCCCGCGAAAAGAATGGCGCGCCGCTGGTGTCGAGAAGCCCGCGCAGAAGTGGGGGAATCCGGAATGGAATCCACCGCGAGAACGCCGCGCGGATCCAGTGCTGGACCGATCGAAGCGAGGCAGGAGGCGTCGGCCAGAGCAGCCTCGAGCGACCTCGGACCCGACAGGCGGCCGAAGGCCTGTCCATGCCCCTGCTCACGCCCCAGGCCCACGGGGGGGGGGCCAGAGTGGCGGCGTGAGCAGGATCAGCCAGCATCGAATCACGAAATCGGATCGCAGCAGAACGAGCACCAAAGCGGGGTGTATCAGTTCGGAGACGAGATCGAATCGAAGCGACTGCGACTGGATTCGCAGCTTCGCTATGCAAGCATCGAGCCGCACAGGATCGCTGGGGAATCGAAATCGAATCGGACCCGGCTGGCCGAAATCCATATCGAATCGGATCGATCCGATCGGAAGGGACCCTGCATGGGTCGGGCGCACAATGACATGCATGAGGGATACGTAGATCTGGTGCGCGGTCGCCAGATCTATGGATCGGGGGAGGTAGCCCCGAAGAATGGCGCCAGTGCCGCTCGATTTGGTGGCGGAGCACGCCGATTCTGCTTGGAAATGGGACCCGTCGCTAATCCACGCGCCTCAACCCATGTTTGCAGTTCCTCGAATGGGTACAACATCTGGCCTCTGGAGCCGGATCTTTGCTCCATGCCCCGCTCCCCCGTGCCGCCTCGAGCGGGGGGCGCCAGCAGGGGTACGGGCTGAGCGTCGATCGCCACCGCAACGGTGTCAACCCCGAGTGGCCGGCGGCAGGCAGAGGTCGCACTGACGACTCCGTCAGGGCTCTCGCATGAGCGATGCGCACAGTCGTCTCAAAAGCTTGCAGCAAGTACAAGGAGAGATGCTGGTTCGTTTTTCAGAAACTTGGCTTGGACTGTCTCGATGCCTTAGCCCCTGTGGAACTGTGCAACAGCATGGGGCTCTCGCTTGAGACTTCCCAACACAAATATATGAACGAATGTAATATTACGTTACAGCAAAGGATGGAGCGCGGTTACTTTTCACAATGGGGCTCTCGCCTGGGACTTCCTCAAAGTAACAATCAGAAGATTGAACACATGTTTGCTAGCATGGACCCCAAAGCAGTAAGTTTTTTCAGTTGGGAAAGTCCGGAAGGAGGCACCTCGGCGTTCGGGCTACCGTTCGCTTCGCAGCCGCCACCTCACAGCTCGTCGTTCGGCGACCTGACCTTAATACTGGCGATTGGCGCCTTCTGCCGGTTGCGCAGCTCGAAATTGTGGCTATGGTCGGTCACCTGGCACAGGTGGGAGCCTTCCTCGATCCACACGAACCCGGAAGTGCTGTGCTTGAGTTCGATTTTCGCACCGGGATCAAGCATAGGGTTGAAGAGGCAAATCTTCCACGGACGCGTAGCCCTGGTTTTCGGGTCTGGGTTGAGGTCGGCGACTACGATGGCGCGGAACTGCATGTCCGTAGATCGCAGGACGAAAGAAGAGTTGGCCTCTACCTCGACCGGCGCCATCTCGCCAGGCTCTGTGACCGCCCAGAAGATGTCGTTCTCCATCCTGCCGAGGTCAGGCACGCCGTACAGCGCGAAGGCAGTCTGCCCGGCCGGCTCCACCCGCAGCCTGATCTTCGCGGAGGACGCGCCGCCGAGCAGAGCGGCGGCCACGGCGCCGAGGAGAGCCCCGGCGCGCCGGCGGAGCTGGCCCGATGCGGACATTGTGCCGAGGCCGCGAAGCAGGCGCACTACAGACTTGACTTGAGCAAGCCGGCTTGATCCGAAATGGCTACGGAGGACCCCAAAGCAGTAAGTGATTCCCCGCGGATGCGCAGGCTATCTCGTGCAACATGTGTGGTACAAGCTGCGGGGTGCAAGCTGCGTGGTGCAAGCTGTGTGGTGAAAGCTGCGCGGTGCAAGCTGCGTGCTGCAAGCGATGTGGTGCAAGCGATGTGTTCCAGTCTGCGCGGTGCAGTTTGTGTGGTGCAAGATCTGTGGAGCCAACTGTACGGCCGCGCGCGGGGCGCCCAAGAGGCGACCTCGGCACGCCCTCCTCCTCCTCCTCCTCCTCCTCCTCCTCCTCCTCCTCCTCCCTCCTCCCTCCTCCTCCGCCTCCTCCTCCTCCTCCTCCTCCTCCTCCTCCTCCGCCTCCTCCTCCTCCCCCTCCTCCTCCTCCTGCTCCCCCCTCCTCCTCCTGCATTGGGTGCCCAGGAGGCCCCCACGGGCGGCCACCACGCGAGACATCTCGGCACGCCCTCCCTCCCGGCACACACGGGGCGCCCACGAGGCGCCCAGGGGGGCGTCCACGGTCGGCCGCCAGCCGAAACCTCGGCACACCCACCCAGCGCACGGGGCGGCCACGGGCTGCAGCGCGAGGCACCCTCGGCACGCCCATCCGAGCCCTTCGGGAACCTGCATCAGGACCCATGAGTGCAGGCACTGCTCTGTAGGTGCAACAGCTGCACGGGTGGAGGGCGGCTCCGTTGCAAAATGGGGCCCTGGACTCAACGACCAGAAGGGTAAACTTGCCAAACAGTTCGGATGGTGGGCGACTCCTTCTCGAAACATCAGCAGCAGCATCATCAGCATCATCATCATTATCAGCATCATCATCATCAACAACATCATCACCCTCATCAGCATCAGCATCATCATCACCATCACCATCATCATCCTTATCAGCATCATTATCATCATCATCATCATCATCATCATCATCATCATCATCATCATCATCATCATCATCATCAGCATCAGCATCATCATCATCATCATCATCACCACCACCACCACCACCACCATCATCATCATCATCATCATCATCATCATCATCATCATCATCATCATTATCACCATCATCAACATCATCACCATCATCATCACCATCGTCAACTGCAGCAGCATCAGCATCACCACCGCCACCGCCACCACCCCCATCATTACCATCATGATCAGCAGCAGCATCATCATCATCAGCATCAGCATCAGCATCAGCATCATCATCTGCATCATCAGCATCATCATCATCATCAGCATCATCATCATGATCATCGTCATCATCACCGTCATCATCATTGTCATCATCATCATCATCATCATCATCATCATCATCATCATCATCATCATCATCATAGGCAGCAGCATCAGCATATGCGGCATCATCATCAGCAGCAGCATCAGCATCAGCATCAGCATCAGCATCAACATCAACATCATCACAATCACCAACGCCACCACCACCACCACAATCACCATCATCATCCGTTTCAGCAACAGCATCAGCATCATCATCGCCGTTACCGTCATCATCATCAGCATCCTCAACATCATCATCAGCAGCAGCATCATCATCAACATGGTCATCATCATCTTCATCATCATCATCGTCAGCATCCTGATCATCAGCAGCATCCTCGACATCATCATCATCATCATCATCATCATCATCATCATCATCATCATCATCATCATCATCATCATCATCATCATCATCGTCAGCATCCTGATCATCAGCAGCATCAGCATCAGCATCAGCATCAGCATCATCAGTACCGTCATCATAATCATCATCGTCATCGTCAGCATCGTCATCAGCATCATCATCATCATCTGCATCATCATCACCATCAATCATCATTGTCAGCAGTGTCATCGTATTCAGCATCAGCATAATTAGCATCATCGACATCAACATCAGCATCGTCGTCATGGTCGCCATCATCATCATCATCAGCAGCAGCATCATCATCGTCATCATCGTCACCATCATCATCAGCATCATGATCATCAGCGTCATCAGCATCAGCATCATCATCCTCATCAACATCAGCATCATCATCAGCATCAGTATCAACAACCTCGTCATCATCGTCGTCATCGTCATCATCGTCATCATCATCAGCAGCATCATTATCATCATCAGCATCAGCATCATCATCAGCATCATCATCGTCGTCATCGTCATCGTAATCATCCTCATCATCCTCATCATCGTCATCATCATCTGCAGCATCATCATCAGGAGCATCATCACCACCACCACTACCATCATCAGCAGCATCATCAGCATCATCAAAAATATCATCATCAGCAGCAGCAGCATGAGCATCATCATCATCATCATCATCATCCTCATCATCATCATCAGAATAAGCATGATAAACATCAGCATCATCATCAGCATCATCATCCGCGCATTCATCACCACCATAATCAATATCATCATCAGCATCATCACCACCACCACCACCAGGATCATCATCACCATCGTCCTCATCATCATCGTCATCATCAAAATCATCACCAGCATCATCATGGTCGTCGTCAACATCAATTGATGCATTTCCATCTTCATCTTAATCCTCCTCCTCGCACGCAGCCGCCGCCGTGGGGGCCTTCAGCTGGAGATGTTCCTTGTCGGACTGGAGTGCAATTAGCTGCGCCCTGAGCATCTCCTCGTCCGCCTCCTTTGCCTGGCACAAGGTACGCGAAAGAAGAGGACGAACTCTTCTTTGTGGCTCTCTTCCTCCTCCTCCTCTTCTTCCTCATCCTTTTCCATGTCCTCATCCTTCTCCTCCTCCTCCTCCTCTTCTTCATCCTCCTCATCTTCTTCATCCTCCTCCTCCTCCTCGACCTCCCCCTCCTCCAGCTCCTCCTCAACCCCCCCCTGCATCAACTTCGAGAGGACTGCTCCGCCGCTCGCTCCCGATCCCTCGGACCTCTCTCTCTCTCTCTCTCTCCGGCGCCCCGCGCCCTCGGCACGAGCGCCCCGCTGGCCGAGGAGCCTTCTGGGAGCCAAGCCCTCGGACTTCTGGTCTGATCGGCCTCTCCGCTTCTGCTCCCTGCCAGGGGCGCCCTGGCGGCCTTAATTCGCTGCATGGGCGGTGGGCCCCTTCCCCTGGCGCAGGTGCCACACGTCTCTGCCTGGGCCTCTCGGAGGGCGCGCACCTGTGCACAGAGGGTGAGCGCCCCGACGGTCCGCGCAGTCTCGGGGGGGGGGGGGGGGAGAAAAGAGAAGGCGGGGGGAGCTGGGAGGACGCGGCGGTGTTTGTATCGCATCAAGCCCTCAGGCGTGCCCGAAGTGTCGAGGGTTCTCGAGGCTCGGGGCGTCGCGAGTCGGCGGCGAGGGGGGGGAAACGAGAGGAGGAGGAGGCCTTCTCAGAAGGCTCGGAAGTCCCCCGGCCTTCTGAGCAGTTTTCTAAGCCTTCCCCGAAGACACACAAAACTTCTCAGAGAAGGCACGAGGGCTTCTGAAGAGTCCCGCCGCCTTCTGAGTAGGTATTCTCCTTCTCGTGTCCCCCCCTCGCTCGCCGAAGAGGGAAGCCAGCCCTGGGAAAAGGGGTCCGCGTTGTGAGAGAATCAGGGCGTCGGGAGGGCGTCCCTGGCCCAAGCTGTCCCCAGCTCTCCGCGTCGACACGGAGCCGCCCTGGGGCCCGCGGGGCGTCCCAGGGCGGCTGTCGGGCGAGAACCGTGGGCAGAAACGTGCAATCAACCCGTGTTACTAAGGACGCGCGATGCGGATGCAGGGGCCTCGGAAGGCCATGTCGACACTTTGCGAGCCGGGCGCGGCCAACGAAAGCGGCCGAGGATGGACCGAAGGGGGAGGATGCAGGGGTAACCTTGGAAAATCGCTCATCCTTACCATGCGGGTTGACTATGCGGGTGCGGAAAGCCGCTAGGAGACCGCGAAACCCCGCGGAACCCGCAGCCAAAACTGGGCGCCGCGAGGTCCAAGCCCCCCCAAGACAGGGCAGGGAACGTTCGAGGTTGAGCGGGGAGGACGGGAGGGAGGCAGCGACGACGGCGGCGGGAGACAGGGCATCGGCGCGGGAGAAGGTTCAGCTCGAGAGAGAGCGAGAGGTGGCGGAGGACCTCGATGGCGGACACGGCCTGCTGCTGGAGCCGAAGCTTCTCCGACTCCAGCTCGCTCAGCTGGCTCCTCAGGGCGTCCTCTGTCATCTTGGCCTAAAGTGCCGAGACTGGCGGCGATCCGCAATCCTCATCTTCCTCCTCCTCCTCCTCTTCCTCCTCCTCCTCCTCCTCCACCACAACCGCCTCCGCCTCCGCCTCCTCCTCCTCCTCCACCTCCTCCTCGTCCTCCTCATCCTCCTCCTCCCTCCTCGTCACAGCTCGCCCCATCCACGTCATCATCATCGTCATCATCATCATCATCATCGTCATCATCATCATCATCATCATCATCATCATCATCAGCAGCAGCATCATCGTCATCGTCATCAGCATCCTCCTCCTCCTCATCATCATCATCACCACCACCACCAGCAACATCAGCATCAGCATCATCATCAGCAGCAGCATCAGAATCAGCATCAGCATCATCATCCTCATCAGCAGCATCAGCAGCAGCATCATCAGCCATAGCATTATCAGCAGCAGCATCATACTCATCATCATCATCCTCATCATCATCAGCGAAATCATCAGACTCTTCATCCTCCGCCTCATCATCATCCTCATTATCATCGTCATCATCGGCATCATCATCGCCATCATCATCCTCAGCATCATAATCGACATCATCATCATCATCATCATCATCATCATCATCATCAGCATCATCATCATCAGCATCATCATCAGCTTCATCAGCAGCATCATCGTCATCATCACCATCATCATCATCATCACCATCATCATCACCATCATCATCAGCATCCCCATCCTCCTCCTCCTCCACCTCCTCATCATCCTCTTCCCTCCTCCTCCTCCTCCTCCTCCTTCTCCTCCTCCTCCTCCTCCTCCTCCGCATCCTCATCCTCCTCCTCCCTCCTCGTCACTGCTCGCCCCTCCTCGTCATCAGCATCATCATCAGCATCATCATCACCAGCATCATCATCATCAGCCTCATTAGCAGCAGCATCATCAGCATCAACATCATCATCAGCAGCAGCATCAGCATCAGCATCATCATCATCCTCATCAGCAGCATCAGCAGCAGCATCATATACTCATCATCAGCCTCATCATCATCAGCAAAACCATCATCCTCCTCATCCTCAGCCTCATCCTCATCCTCATCATCATCGTCATCATCATCATCATCATCATCATCATCATAATCATCATCATCGCCATCATCATCCTCAGCACCATCATCATGATATTCAGCATCATCATCAACAAAATGAGCATCAACAACATCATCAGCAACATCATCAGCAACGTAATATCACACCCACCACCACCACCACCATCATCAGCATTATCAACATCATCATCCGCGCCATCATCATCATCATCATCATCAGCATCAGCATCAGCATCAGCATCAGCATCAGCATCATCATCATCAGCATCAGCATCATCACAATCACCACCACCACCATCATCATCATCATCATTAGTATCATCATCGCCATCACCACCACCACCACCACGATCATCGGTATCAGCATCATCATCCTCATCCTCCTCAGCATCATCATCATGTCCAGCATCATCATAATAAGCATCAACATCACCACCAGCATGATCAGTTTCTTCCCCAGTGTCATCAGTATCATCATCATCATCATCATCATCATCATCATCATCATCATCATCATCAGCAGCAGCAGCAGCAGCATCATCATCCTCATCCTCATCATCATAAACCTCAAGATTCCTCTTCACCATCATCCTGCCTGTCCTCCGCCCTCCTCCCACTACCACCACTACTCCTCAGTCTCCTCCCCCGCCCTCCCTTCCCCCCTCCGCCACTCACAATCCTCCCCTCCGTCGATGTCTTCCTCGTCCTCCCTCCGTGGTATCCGTATTGTGCCACCGATCAGCTCGCCTCGAAGACCGAAACCCAACTCTCGTGCATTGGAAACTTACATCGGGAAAACTTCCCACGAGATCCAGGGAGGGGGGCATCACGCCGACACCACCCTCTCGAAGGCCCCTAAGGAAGCCTCAAGACCGGCCGAGAGCATCCACAGAAGCGCCCAGGAGGTCACAGAGGCCTCCAAGACAGCTCAAGAGCGCACGATGGCCTCAAAATGGTCCAAGAAGCCTCCAAGACGCCCCAAGAGGGCCCCAAGAGGATCGCAAAGAAGGTCCCAATAAGCCCAAAGCATGAGCTCCAGATTGATTTTTGAAGGATTTTAGCATTCTCGCTTCTCCAAGTTTCCACGCTCCAACACATCCCACGAGGCCCCCTAAGATCGCCCCAAGACGGCCCAAGACGGCCCCAGGACGGCCAAGAAGGGCTCCAAGACGGCCCAAGAGGCCCCCAAAAGAGGGCCCAAGACGCACCCAAGAGCGCCCCAACAGAGGCCCTCAAGTAGCCGGGAATATCAACTGGCCCCCAAGAGGCCCCCGGAGACCCCCTGGACGAGCCAGAGATGGCCCACGAGGCGCCGTAGAGGCCTCGAACGACGCCCCGAGCATGCCTCCAATAGGATCCCGTAAATCCTCCCAAGAGACGCCACGGAAGCTACCAAGGCCTCGAACCAGATCCGCACCAGCAGATCCCAGGGGCGGGGGAGCATCACGCCGTCGCTCCCTCTTCAAAACTCCCTAGACGGCCTCGGGCAGCCCCCGCTCCCTTCCGATTTCCCAGACGGCCTTAGACGGCCGATCAGAGGCCCGCGAAGGCCCAAGATGGCTCCAAGAGAGCACCAAAACGGCTCCGAGAGATCCCCAAAACGACCAGGACAGACCAAGACGGCCACGGGTCGCGCCAAGATGACCTAAAAGGCACCCAACAAGGCCCCCAACACGGCCCTCGAAAACGTAGCACCCAGGAGGCCGAAATCACTGAAAACAAACGCTGATGGCGAAAGGAGCTGGTGTGATCGTGATCGCCTGTTCGGGCTTCGCAGCCTACAACATTCCAAGATCGCCCCAAGACGTCACTGAAAGAGCACACTAGAGGCCCAATGCAGCCCGAAGAACACTCCCAGAGGGCCCCAGGAGAGCCCAGTCTGGAGGGACCAAAGTTGGTCTAAACCAGAGAAAGAAAAGGAGCCCTAAACGCTCCGCGATGGGCGCAACAATCCAGCTGCAAGAAGGAGTTCTGATACGGCCTCACGAGAGCCCGACGACCTGGAGATTGTTCAAACCTGGCAACGAGAGGCTTCGAAAACAATCAAAGGGACAGAGCTATAGCCGCGATGCGTGGGGTGGACTTCAAAGCGATCCCAAAACAGCGGCACGACTGCTCTGCATAGGCGGAAAACTAGCGCGGCGAAGAGCCCAACTCACCGCATTCGGAGGAGCTTCCTATAGGGCCACATAACGTGTGAGGGGTGTGCTGAAATAGGTGCGGTGGGCGCATGCGAAAGCAGCCACTGGGGCCGTCGGTGGAATTCCTTATGGTGCCGAAATAGGCGAGGTGGGCGCATGCGAAGGCAGCTACTGAAGCCTTCGGTGGAGCTCCCAGTGGGGCCAC